TGTGTGTGTGAGAGAGAGAAAAGGTGTGTGTGTGTGTGAGAGAGAGAGAGAAAAGGAGAGTGTGTGTGTGAGAGAGAGAGAAAAGGTGTGTGTCTGTGTGAGAGAGAGAGAGAAAAGGAGAGAGTGTGTGTGTGAGAGAGAGAGTGCGAGTGTGAGGAAGTGTATGTGTGTGAGAGAGAAAAGGAGAGTTGTGTGTGCGTTGAGTGTGTGTACTTGAGAGAGTGTGAGTGTGAGGAAGTGTATGTTTGTGAGAGTGTGTGTGTATGTGTGAGTGTGTTTGTAGGAGTATATAGTGTGGTGAGGTCACCTGTAGTGTGACATGAACCCAAGATCACGATTGAGGACATCCTCATGGGTATGGAACTTGGCTATCAGCCTCTACTCAGTGATTCTGCATTGTTATGTATCTCGAAGTCCATCTTGGAGGACGCTTACCTGAAGATCAGAGGCTGAATGTCCTTGACCCCTTAAGGATTCCCCCAGTGGGATGGAACACCCCTGTCCAATGATTGTTGCATGGTGTCCACTCATCCATTGTCATAGTGTCTGCATGGTCTAGCCAATATACCATGCCTCGGGGCATCCTTGCCTGAAGTGTATGAGATAGACAACATTGGCTGAGTCACATGAGTATCTGCCATGTATGCGGTGGGTGGTGTTCCCATGTGTGATTGGTAGTATCCATGTCGATGCTCTTACATGTCTTGCAGAGGTTGCCATGACAGGGTTGTATAGTGTTGTGTTCAACATTGTCCTGAGGGCTAGGTAGTTTGCTGCGAACAATGGTCTATTTAAGATTTGGTGGTTGTTTGAAGGCGAGAAGTGAAGGCATAGGGAAGATCTTGGCGAGGTGCTCATCATCGTTGATAATGTGTTGAAGGCTGCAAAGAATATGATGTAGTTTCTCTACTCCAAGGAAGTACTGAACGATGAAAGGTACCCTGTTGGTCTTATCTCCTGTCTGTCTTCTGAGGAAGTCATTACGGTTTTTGCTGTGGCACGATGGAATTGGTAGTCAATGAGTTGAGCATCATACCCTGTTCTTATGAGGGCATCCTTCAACATCTTCAGGTGGCTGTCTGACACAAACACATTCTCACACTCACACACTTACACACTTACACAGACCCTCTCTCACGCATCACACTCCCACATGCATACACT